CCCTAAAATATAATACTTTCTTACACATCAAAATACATACTTCCTAACAATATACTATGCAAAGTAAACAAGCTAAATTTCTCCTTTCAGGGTAAACAAGATTCAGGATACTTGGACCTGGCTTAAAGTTTAATCAGGGTAACATCTTGTGCCTGAGAATATGTTAACTTTAATGACATTTTGACAGGAAAAAAAAGTGTTTGGGATTCTTATTTCCACCAGAATTAAAAAACTCTTCCAAGTTCACCAGAATTATATCCAATTAAAACATCAAATACTATTTTTATAGTAAACTACTAAGAGTTTTAGTCTATCATCAATTTTCTAAAAATGAATAAAAACTTTCTATGCTCATTGTTATTTAGGCAAAATTAACTTTATCTGTAAAAAATTATTTTCATATGACAACTGTGATTTGATTCTTCCAGTAATTTTAGCCTATCTAAGATTTTGCTAATTGTGTTTTTGCAATTTGGAAATTTCTATAATATTATTCTAATAATCGTTTTCACACTAGTTGAGAATTTTAACTTTTTGTTTTATTTCTTAAACCAGGTGAAAAATAAGATGAAGACTGAGGGGAAAGAAAAATGAAATAGAAATAGAGAAAGGGAGACTAATCAATATAACAGTAACAGAAACCAGATCTTTTCCTTTCCTTCTTTATCTTCCTGAATAGTTCAGTGCAAAAGTCATCAAAAAGCTGGACACTGATTAGGGCTGATAGAAGGAGAATTGATGCCTTTTAGTTGTGATACTAGAGAAGAGTATTGGATATATCATGGACTTCCAGGAGAACAAACAGGTTCATCATAGAAAGGGTGAAACCAGGCTGCTCCTTGGAGACAAGGATTCTGAAGATCCGTTTTAACACGTTGGACATGTTGCAAGGTGGGTCAAGTCCTTGGAGAGGGATGTCATGGGAGAGAGAGGGACAGGGAAAGAGAGGAAGACCTTTGATAAGATGGACTGACTCAGTGACTAGGGTAATGGAGTTATGGTGTCAGAGACAATAAGGTTAGTTCAGGATAAAGCAGGGTTCAGAGCTGTTGGACACAGGGTCACCATGAGTTGCAAGTGAGTTGATGGCACATAACAACAACAACAACATTAAAACAACAACCCTGTGTTTACAGGCAAAGGCACTTAAGTGGTTCACTTCAAGTCGTTCCAGCAAGGTAAGGAGCCATCTCAACGTACAAGAATGAAGCTTAATGTTAGATGCCGGAGTACTGTGAAAGAGGTGTCTAAATTTGGTTGGGAGCAGGGTCCAGAGCAGAAAAATAGAACTCATATAATGTATAAATGGCCTTTCCATTGTGTTGCAGACTAACAAAAGCTGGTTACATTAAAGGAAGGATTATTCAAATAAAGAAATATCAATTCAGAATTGTGTTTCTTGCTATTGAAGATGAAAGCTGACATAAGCGATAAAGGAGAAAACCAGAATATATCCTGATACATTCTAGTTTAGATAAACAAAAAACCTAAAATCATTTTTACTGCACAAAACGGATATATCATTGTGAACTAATGGCTTTTCTATAGCTACAGAATTAAGAATGTGATTGTATACGTGCACACCTGTGCTTACGTACATGCATATACTCACCATGTCTTCACCCTAATAAAGAACAAAACTTTCAATAGCATGACCTACATAATGTTTGGATCCAAATTTTTAAATCCCATTCTTCGTAACCAAAGCCAAAATTTGGAGAAATGGCTAATTTCAGGATTGTGGCATAGAAAGTACAAGAGCAAATTTGTAAATGTTCCAAAAAGTTACACATAAAACCAAAGAATTCATGTCAGAGACTGGCAAAATTTGGGAGAATCTGAGCATCAGAATCAATATTAATTATAACAAATTAACTTACTGCATTAAATGGGAATTATGAACAACTTGAAAACTGAAAGTTTCTAAGTGCATCTCCAACAAAATATATTTTAATTACAAAGAAAGCAAAGTAGTTTTACAGGGGATAAGACTGGAGGTCACTACCTTAAAGGAGGTCTGTGTAAGGTCATGTTCAAGTGACTGTGTCAGTAAAGGATAAATCAAAATCATGTGTCAACTCTCGGGATATAGAAAGAATGTAGCATTACTTCTGTCAATATTCTTTAAAGAATGCATTACTTAAGTCTTCTAATCATGAAGAAACATCAAAAAAAACTCAAAAGGAAGGATATTCTACAAAGTGACTAGTCTGTAATTTACCACACTTAGAAACTATTCCAGACTTGAAGAAATTAAAGGGACATGAAAATTAAATGCAATACATGATTTCAAGGAAGAATCATTTTTGCTATAAAGTATATGATAGGGGAAACTGAAGACATTTGAATGAGATCTGAGGATGACATGGCAACAATTGTCCTAATGTTGTTGATTTTCAGAAATGTCATATTTTTGATATGGTAGGAAAATGTAGGAAAAACACATAAATGTATTTGGGGTAATAATAAAGTATGCCTGTAATGAACCCTCAAAAGATTCAAAGAGAAAAATGTTTATGTAATCTTAACGAAGATCAAGAGGTGCTTCAGCTCATCCTATCCACAAAAGGTGAGACTGAAATCTTCTGAAGGTCAAAGCATCCTGCTTCATTTACAAGATGAAAGAGAGAGAAAAAAATTGTCTATCTGTCCCCTTTGTAGACTGTAATTCATTTTGGCTACAATTCCAGAGGGAGGGAAATGCCAGTTGTGAATAACCACCTATAGAACACAGCTTCCTGGACAGTGTCTCCAAGACTCTTGTGTAAAGGGAAGATGTGACATCATACCAATCACGCACTCTCTTGAGTGACTAAGAAAAGCCTAACTTCAAAAGAACCATGGCTTCTTATCAGGCTCCCAAGGCCATAAATTTTCACTGAAGGAGAATCTTCCATCTTTCGTTCCCTTAAGCACCTGGTGGAATCAATCAAACCATTAACTGGTGGATTTGAGCCAGTGACCTTTAGGTTAGTGGTCTGACATGTTACACACTACCTCAGATTCCTTAAAAAAGGCTAACACAAGTATATTCCCAAAGCTGATTGTATTTAGCTGTGTTTTTTAGACTTTGCATAATTAACTATTGCAGAGGTTATCTTTCAATAAGACTTTTCTAGTCATAGTTTGACTTTGTCATGTTGATAGGTGGGAATATGCGAATGGGGCATGTTAGCCTATCCACAAAATATCTGGCTTTCTACCAGTCCATAAGGGGATTGGCTAGTGGTCTCACCATTATACTGAGCATCCAGCAGCAGAATCAGACCTCCCCATCACTGGCAAAGAAGGAAAGAAACCTCACAGCCAGGAGAAGAGCAAACAAAGGGACTTTCAGAACCTTTAGCCATAGTAGCCACAGCATAGAGTGTGAGACAGGACCTTGAGACTGCTACAACATTGGAACCAGAGCTAAGAGTCTTTGCCCAAGTTTGCTGGACAACTCAGGGTAGGAGCCCAATACTAGCAGGGCTGAGAACTTTGTAATATTGGTCTAAAGCAAGGTGCTGACATGCACATTTCTGAAGCTGTCCTGACATTATTCTGCTACTAAGCTGTATTATAACTTTTTAAAATTTTTTCATTATACTAATTTATTTACAAAATTTGAATACATTGTTTTCCAGAACAGATTCTTCAAATTACTCTCAATCCCTCCACCCATCAAATTGTGTAACTCCGTGATCAATCCCCCCATCTCCCTGCATATTCTCATCCCTCTGCTTCCACCTTGGATCTTTATACTCATTCTACAATAACGGTCTTATACAATATTTGCCCTTGTGGGACTGAGTGAGTTCACTCAGCAAAATGGTCTCCAGTCCCTCCCAAGTTAAGTAATAATTTATAAAATCATTGCTCCTACGGGCTGCATAGTATTCCATTGTGTGAATGTACCATAATTTCTTAATCCATTCATTTGTGGTTGAATATCTGGGCTGTTTCCACATTTTTGTGATATTATAACATTTTTACTTCCCTAGCATGATTCTATGTGGTTTGTGAGCTATCACATTGGATTTTGGACCTAGTAAATCAGTAAGATTAGTTTTGAGATGACTAGAACGAAGAGGGAAAGCAGGGAAGACAAGCCTGACCTCATAGGAATTTGTTTTGTGTTACTGATGCTGTTGATGGGGACAGTTCCCCTTTGAGAAAGTGGTAAAGGTCAGTTATGGCTGGCCCCATGTGACCCTTGCTCTTTTTACATCTATTTATGTTACATTGTGAAAAGTTACTGAAAATCCTAAGTTCAAGAATAATGAAGGTTCAACACAGGTATTTTTCACCTGATCCCTAAAGTGAAAAATACAAATAATCTTGTTCTTTTCAGTCACAGACAACAGGAACTGCAACTTGTAAGTAATAAGTAACAGTAAGTCCTACTTACTGATACCTCAGTAACACACCGGAACAATAAACTTGTCTTAAAACATATTTTACTTACCTGTTGAATTAAAGAGGATTATATAAAAGGATTCATCTGTTTCTGGAATATCATCTTCATTGACAAACACAGATATACTCTGGTCTCTTCTTCCAACTTCAAACACAAGTGTTTCTCCTTTTTCAACGGGTACAAAGTCTCCCTCTCTTGCCGTTGCTTTCCCATCCATAGTGGCATATTGAACAGTGCAGGGAGTATCAACAGATCCATTTCTGAGAACGGTAAAGTAAGCAGTGCCACCTTCCTGAACCCTTACTATACGAGGTTCTGAAATAGCCACAAAGAAAAGAAGTGACAAGTGAGGTTTTTTAATATCACCTATTTGGAGCAGGAGTGGCATCCACTTCCTAAATAACATGCCTCTGGAAACTCTTATGAAGTCTGACAAATGTTGATTTGTTGTAGAGGGGCTTCAAGTCTTTTGTTCATAGGGTCGTTCTGAGTTGTGCTCGACTGAAAGACAGTCAACAACAAAAGCAATATATCATTTGCCTTTATCTTTCTCTCTTTTACTCAAGTAATGCTCTACATTAAATGTGGTTGTTGTTTTCATGTACCGTCAAGTCTGAACAAACTTATAGCTAACCCTCCAACAGGTTTTCAGAGACAGTCAATTACGTGAGAGAAAACTGCCTACTTTCTCCAGCAGGGGAGCTGGTGGATTTGAACCACATGCTTTTAAGTTTCCAGGGCAACTCCTTATCACCACTTCACCAGAGTTCCCTATCCAGTGAATAGATGCTTGAAAATCAGCTCCATTCTCCACTATGAGACTTCCTTTGATTATTAGTTCAACTGTCAATGACCTTCCTCCTTCTTTCATTCTTTTTGTTGAGGTTATAATGTGCAGTTATTGGCACTGACTCACAGCTGATCTCTAGTAGGTTTTCAGAGGTAGTTAATCACATGGGAGGAGATTGTCCATCTTTCTCCCACCGAGAATCTTGTGGATTATGGGGCAGTATGTGGATTAGAACTACATGTCTGGATTGGCAGCACAACCCCTTAGCACTAAGTCATCAGAGCTCCCTTCAGAGTAGCTAGTGGATGTAACCCACTTATCTTTGGGTTGGCAGTGCAACTCCTTACTACTCAGCCACCAGAGCTCCCTTTCATTCTTACAGAATCCACTTTCTAACACCAAATTTGGCAGTTAATTGATGCTTTTTTTAATTCTCTGCTTACATGTTCATATACCTATCTTACTTTCGAATTTAGATGTAAACTTTCTTCAAAACATGTCCGCATACTTTATATTTTATTTTTGGCACAGCAGTTAGAGCGTAAAGCTAAGCAGGACAATTAATTAATTTCATGTTAACTAGAAATTGTTAACATAAATCAGTAAAATTTAAAAGATTTCTACAATAGTAACACTGAGATATATATAGATATATAGATATAGATAGATAGATAGATAGATAGATAGACATATAGATATATAGATATACACACACACACACAGAGTTTACAAAAAGTTTAAGAAATCAAACAACAAATAAATCTCCTAAATAAAATTTTTAAATGCCATTGGCAAAAAATAGTTCTAAAGCCAATAATAAAGTGGAGAAAAATGGAGAAATCTACATCTACATCCATTTAATATTGGTTTTTATAATAAGTGACAAGCCATGCAGTGTTAACAGCCAGCCTTGAATAAGCTAGATTCTCTGTGGATCATAGCAAATGGAAAAGTGTTCTTTTTTGCACAAAAAGGTAAATAAAGCCAAATAAAATAGCACTTACTCTCTTTCTCTTTCAGAAGCACTTGTAAAAAATTCTTATTAACTTTAAAATTTATAAAAACATGAAAAAAATCATATTTAAACAAGCATCAATTGAACTATAAAACAATAATTTCAAAACTTACATATTTTCAACTTAAATATACATTGTCAAAACAGATACAAATTCAATCAAATAAGATAAAATACCACCTGCAAAATAAATGGGGTCATCATTTCTTCCAATCCTCAGAATTGCAGTTGTTTTATTTCCTATTTTAGCTCCTCCAGTGACATTAAGAAGGGTAATGGTAAATTCTTCCATTTCCTCTGGAATCTTTTAGAAAATACATTATACAAGTATAAAGCAAGGTAACTGTATGTATAAATTACATTATATATTTAAAAATCACTTGTCCTGTTAAATAGTTCTATTAACTGTATAACTGCTTATTTTATTTTCCACTTTTGAAGCAGAAATTCTCCTGAGTATTCCATTTGGGATTCAAACTATAAAGAAAAATCATTTCTTTAGTGCGCATATCCAAATAGGAACTTCATTTTCACTAACTACAAAGTTTAATGGAAAAAGGAATATTTTACTTTATGTAAGTTAAAAAGAGAAAATACACAGGATCCTATTACTTCTATAAGAAACTGGAAATTCATTAGCAATATATGATTAGGCATTATTTTTATGATAACAGTGCAGAATAGGAGGTGCAAACCAAAGTAAATTGGGAGGGGTGAAGGGATGAAATTATGCAACAATGAATGATTTAAAAAAAATGGTGTACTGGGGTGGGTAGGGAGAAAAATGTGAAACAATGAATGAAAATACAAGTTTTCTGTAAACTTTTGTTAAAATCACAATTAAAAAAACAGAATAAGGTAAAAAAATAATTTAAATGTGAAAACAAAAAGAATGTAATTCATAACAGTAACTAAAGATCAGTTATTTCTTGAGGAGTTCTTAAACACCTTACCAAGGTATTGCTCAAGTGGGTCACAAAGACTTCACTCCTATTTCCTTGCAAAATGAAATTTCTTTCCTCACAGCTCTAGGCCTAAATGTAAAGACTTGGATAGGCTTTCTTTCTCATTTCAGTGAGGAAAGATATTCTTTTTCTCACTTTAAAGTGGAAAAGTGCTGGGATGGTTTGTTGATGTGGACTTTCCCCTGCCCCTACTGCAGAAACAAGTATGAGGGGAAAAGGCAGGCCTCACTGCTGTCCACTGCTCAGAGCTCTCCTCCCCCCTCAGAAAGGTTCTCTCCCCAGTGCTGCTAAATTCCTTAACAAACACATTTTCTCTTTCTTCCTTATCAATAAGAAGCAGCATCACGAAGGACCCATGATGCATCTGATCCTGACCCAGAGTCCTGATTCTGAGATTGCACCACAGGACACCTGCGTGAAATCTTCATAGATGGCGACCTTGTTGTATTCAGAAGGAATATTCACTAGTCTATAGATTAACCTTTGCCACAGTGTGAATCCCTAACACTGGACACATAAGCAATGTCACAAATCTCTAGCACTTTTAAGAGCTCAAAATTAAGTTAGAAAAATAAAAATAACATTGCTCTTTAGCTTACAGTCAGATATTATTATTCTTGAGTTCTTTACAATATACAATTAAAAATTATTACTAAAATGTATTTAATAATTATAAGTAAAATAGACTGTACATGCAACATTTACCTCATCTGGTAGAGAATAAATAGTGATATTTTTGGAAAATTCCTGATCTCCAAAGAAAATGGTCCCTTGAACTGGAAATACATCGTGTGTAAAGTCTGGACTAACGACCCAGGATGCACTAACATCACCAAAGTTTCCTCGATTTCTTATCACATCATAAACAGCTGTGAAACACAAATGTATATAAAATAAGTATGAATTTATCCAAAACAACTTTAAATACTGAGAAAAAATTATTGAAATAAACTAAAGCAAAATTAAGACTTTAAAAAAAATAAAGGTCCATTATTTGCTTAATACTATCTCTAAGGAATATACAAAAACCAATCAATTTAAAAAAAGTTCAGTAAAACAATATTTTTTAACTGCTTTAGCACAGCTCTCCCTTTGTAAACCTACATCTGATCAAATAAATGGAGTAAAAATTTTCTATCATAATTTGATATTTTAAAAGTTGTTCACCAGTTGAGCCGATTGCCAATTAACTAGATACACATATCACAAAGCTCCACAAGGGTATTTGCTAGAGAGAGATACACACTGTAGTGTTATATTTGTACCTTTCCAGACACCACTTTAGAAAGGAAACACTTCATTTCCTGCTATTTTCATAGCTCCCTGGCAGTACCCTAATGTTCCTCTATTTGACTTGGCTCATTGAGCGATTAAGTTCGACTACATATGGTGAACTGAAAAAAAATTATAACTGAAGTCATCAGTATCATTATAATACTATTTAAGAAATGCAAAATGTGATACAAAAGACCAACTTCTAAACCTCCTGTAATTTTCAAGGCAGCAATGGCATCTGAAAATAGAAAATAAAACTTAAGCTAGGAAAGCATTTCTCCTTTGATAAACAGTAAGAGAATATAAAAAGCAGAATAAATTACCACTGTAGATATCATCTCCTTTATTTTCATTGATCAAGACATTAAGGCCATCAGAAGCAAATTCTATAATCCCATGAGGATCATCATTTTTCAAAATCGTTATGTTGACGACCGTCGCACTTCCCAGTTTGCTCTCTCGTTCACCGTGACTGCTGAGGATCACCCAAAAATGTTCATCCAACTGGATGCCACATGTCAAATTACAAAAACCGAAAAAGTTGAAGGCTTCAGAGTAAATGAAAACTATACACTAAATTTTCATAAGCATAGAATGCATCAAGAAACATTCAGAATCTATATTATATCTAAAAATCTTTTTAACATTCCCCCACAAATTAAGAAAGATGACAGATACAAGTATCCACTGTAAAAAAACAAAACAAAACAAAACATTATAATACTGTAGTCTAGTAAAAAGACTGGGCCTTGACCTCAGTAGCCCTGTCACTTAAACTAATGAGTATATAAGCTTCAAAACTGCTTATTAATTGGGTGTGTTGAAAAAATGGAACTATGCCTTACTATTAAAACAAATTAAATTTACTTCTTTTAAAAATAATTTTACAGCAAAACTTCTTCAGTTCTAAACTGTATTTTTAAAAGTTGAGTCAAAAGGAAACATCAATTACATAAAATAAGGTCCCCAAAAAATGACAAAGTAAAAGACGCTGCAAACTGATCTTGCACAGTTTTCAGTATTTCTGTGTGTAAAACAAAAATGCACCACTTAGAAATCTGAATGTATCCTCTTTTGGGTTTTGGCTTGCTTTTCTTCCAAAACATAAGTATTACTCAATCTTTTCTTCTTCACTTTGTTTTGTTCCTCTTTGACAATGTACAGAATATCGTTTTAGTCATAATATGCTAGATAACATCAATCTCCAAGGTCAATGCAGAAGGTGAACATAAAATCCCATACCTCTGGTATCCCATCCAATCTCGTTAGCAGGGTGATGACAATCTCCTTCTCCCCAGGTTTAAATTCTAACACCCCCATGTTTCCATAGAATTCATTGCTGTCTCTTGGCTCTACTCGGTAGTATAGAAACTGTTTCACCAGTGCTCCCCTGGATCGAATGATGTGGAGCTCCACAGAGTCACCTTCCTTAAAAGAAAATAAAAATTCACTAACATTCACATCCTTCTCATAGTCTTCCTCCTGAAGATGTGAACACAAGAGGGATTTTGTTTCTTTCAGACTTACATGTATAACATAGGGTCCTCTAGAAACAGGAGAAAACTCAAAAATTCCTCCAGGATCATCATTCTCCAAAATAACTAGGTCCCGGGTAGTATAACCCGATTTCAGCACTTGATTTTCCACATTGACCCTGAAGAAGTCATAGGAAAAAATGTGCAAGCTATGTATCACTTTATTTTTACATTTATCCAGGCTTCTAAGAAAATAGCTACATTTCCAAATGACAGAAAATAAGTTAATAGTAATTAGAATCTTACAGTGAATTTAAATCGAAAGTCTTACAACATCACAATTGGAACCACACAAATGTAAAAGAAACAGTAATCAGACAATAATGTTCTAAATTTTATTTATATGAAGCATTAGAAGTCACAGATTTTTTTCCCCACAATGTCAAATTTTTTTATTTGAAGCATTAAGTTAGGAATATATTTAAACAAAGTTGCATTTTAATTTTACCTTTAATTGAATTCTTTTAAAACCTCATTGCACAAGATAATCCTGTCTGTAAAAGTGATATAACTGTGAGGACTAATAAAAACAAGCAAACTGAAAAGGAAGAGTGCAATGAAAAAAAAACCAAAAAACTAGGTCTTAGAAATAGCTTGTGTAACTTTAAAATGCTTTACACTTGCTGCAATTTTAACCTCAAAGGAAATTTGAGTCTTTCAGAATAAAAGAAAGTAGATGTATGAAGTAAAAGCGGGGAAGTCAATGGAATGAGACAGACCTGAGATGCATGGCATGTTATAACAATTCCTATACATACCATAAAAGAACATATTAAAACAAGATGCTTTTTCATTTCTGTTTTTTATAGCTCAGTGTGTAATTAGAATGATCAAAGGGTCTTAGAATGCAAAGCTCCGAGGGCTTAGAAGCCAGCAGGCTCTTTGAGAATTCTCAATCCTGCAAACTGCTCTAAACCTTTCCAAATGTCACTTCCTATTGAACCAAAAAGTACTCATGATCAGACCTCAAAATCACAATGAAGCCACTATTAATATGTATAATGCACAGCTCATTTCCTATAGGATAGAGAATTTGAATTAACATCCCTTGTTTTTGGAAATCTGACAATGAATATATATCATACTGGTCACTGGTGAGGAAGTCTAAATAATAGGACAGTTATTCATCATATCATCAATGAAGTCATATGATTTCCATAGTAAACATGTCCGTATTTCACTGATAATACTTTCATCATTTAAAATTTCCCTTCTTCTCAAGCAAGAAGACAAAATAGATTCAAATATATAACCATCCATTTTGAGCAGTAACTAAATAACTTTTAGACTTTCTTGAAATATGCTACCCTATGTAAAAAGGCAAATTACTAAAAGATCTGAACACAACAATTAAAAAGATGCTGGAAAGAAAATGCTTAGATGAGCTCAGAAATCCAACAGAAGTGATGAGACAATGGACTGATAATTCTGTTACACAAATTACAAGCCTTACAAGGCTCGTAAGCTATCCTGTGTAAGAATTTCAAAAGGAAAACATAATAACTGTTCTCTAAGCTATATATAAACTAAAACATCACAATTTAAAGAGCTTCAAAATTCAGTGACAATATATATTTTGTATCGTATAATACAAAAATTTATAATATAAAAATCCAGTTATAATTCTCAAAAATTTTATCTAATTTTCTAATTACATTCGTAATTTAAAGCTCTAAGGACAAAAGAAAACAACTTCATGTCATAGAAAATGAGATTACATGCAATGCATGCACAGGCAGATGGAAAAGCAAAATTACTGAAGGACCATGGGTCATGCAGAAATGCAGCTGTGTCCAAAGCAATCACTTGCAAAGCAAAATGCTAAAAAAAAATCAAATACAATGTGTTATTTTGTACACTTACCCAAAATATACCACAAATCTTTCTGTTTCTACCCTGTCAACACAGAAAGAAGTATGGGAAATGGGAACAAGGGGTAGGGACACCATTTGCCAAAATACTTATCACTGCTAGCTAGAACTAAAAATAAAACTAAAGAAAGGCCTTCCTTTGTGTTTTTCTTTTCTTCTCTCAAGAGTTGGCAATGTTCACGTTATGGGAACTCTGCATACTGGTACTTTGCTACTGACAATTGCTAGCAAGTGGTTCAGCAGTTCTCACTTATGGAAGATGACCCCATGGTCAGCCAGCATGTTAAGACTCATTCACAACATTCCTTTCCAGGCCTCCTCCAAGCCATTTGTGCTTGCCAAGCACTGTACATACACACAAACTGCAGCAGCTGAGCAAATTTCATTCAGCCCTACTTATAATGACTTGGTCGCTTTAATTAGGTTAAAGAAAAAATAAAGCCTCAATCCTCAGATTTAAGGCCTGTGATTCTTTGAGTTGAAGAACATAAAACTTTATAAGCTTAGAAATATATAATTTTCATAATATGCCTGGGAATATACTCATTATGTGCTTTAATAAGATAAATATTATTTATAAACAATTTTATATTAAGACATCTAATCACTTTCCTACATCTCCAATTTATAACATTTCAAACAGCCTTAGAAACATCAAAATGCAGTCCTATACCTCATTTTTAAAGCCAACCATATACTTATGAACATGCAGTAAGTATCATATGTATTATCTTAATCAAATTATGAATATGTCTCTAACATGAGGAAAAGTGAAGGATAAAATAATTTGAATTAGTGTAGTATTAAAAACGTCTTAAATTGTTTACTTCCAACCAGAACAAGTTCTATTTATATTTACCTGGATAATAGAAAAATTTATTTTACATAAACAGAAAATTGTAAATTATATCACAAGAAAGCATTAATATGTTACAGAGTTGTTGAGATTAAAATATAATATTTATTTATTCCTAAATTTTACTAAAAATTTGCAAAACTTACTTGATATTGATAAACTGCTAGCTCAAATCATAGAATTTATTCTTCTCCTTTATTTAACTAAATATATCTCAGAGACATTTAAGTATAATTTGCTCATTCTTGCACATACACAATGAAATAATAAGGCAAACTGCAGTTACTAATTTAATAAAGGTATAGCAGTCTCATTGATTCGTGGTTACAGAGCATGGATGCTAATCAAATGTCAGCCATCTGAACCCACAAACCCCAAATATATATTTTTCTCTATTTGAAATGAGAGCAACCATCAATTTCTGATATTCTTCACTGCTTATTTAGACTCACTCATATAACTAATAACAGAAAAAGAAATGTAAAAAAACTCATTAAAACACTTAAAATTTTGTTTCATTAATGTAAAATGTTTATATGATAAAAAATAATAGCTCTGAAAACATGTGACTCTAAAGAGTAGTCACCATAAATTTAAAACATTCCTTGAAGACTTAGATCAGAATAAAAATTCTCCCCTCATTTTATAAAGCTTCTGGATTATTTAAATTTTAGATTATAATAGTTCTTCATTTTTCACTTTTTCTAATAGTTAATAAATGCCCAGACATAATTTAAAGAAAAAAATTACATAAGTGAAAAAGTAGTAACTGTGAGCCTATATTACAAATTATTTACATTAAATGAAATACCATTCTGTAGAATTTAACATTAAAATATATTAAACCTATAAGTGAACTGTAATTCTTTTTCTTAATTTATGTACTGTTTTAGTTTTGTGCTTTTATTAACTTTTTATATAAGAAATAAAGAAAGTATAATGTGATTCCTAAAGGAAGCAAAATTTCAGTGGACATTAAATAATTTGTTTCATGCATTCTATATCTTTCTTCCAAATAAAGAGACAAAAATTAAAATGATCATTGAATTTTTAAAGCTATATCCTTCCTTTTTTCTAAGCAGTAAAAGAAAGATAATACTAAACCTGAAATACAATTAGACATAACCCTTACAAAGAAACCAAAATGTTGATAATAAAATCAAGGCAGAAATAAAGAAGAATGGAGATTATGCAAAAAAATTATTTGGTCCGTTTTAGTGCTAATGAACATAGTAGAAAACAGTATTTATTGAATGAACTTTATGTCTTTATTGTTTCTGAAATATGAATTTACAAACCCTTCAAGTTATGTCTACTTTCTTTAATATGTCTCTATTTTAATAGTAAAAGAACTATGCTCAAATAGCTTGATTTTAACTTTTTTATATAAAAAGTAACCTTAAAAAAAAACTAACCACTAGTAATTCAATATATTTTTTTTTTCATTTTTAGAAAGGATTTTTATTTTCTGAAAAGAAAAATTCTATAAGAATATGCAATCTATTCTTAATATATATTACCTGCTGACAGAATTCTAATTAAATCTACATTACAGAAAGCTCTACTTAAATCTGTATTGTATTAAATCTGTATTGAATCCCTGAAAATTATATATTGTTTAATGCTTATATTTTATGTAAAGAAAGAGAATTTCATTATGTGAAGATTAAAGAGTTCTTTTTTTACTCACTCAAAGCTGTAATCCTCTCCTTTATTGAAAGTAAGGCCAAACAGAACTGTTGGCTTAACATAACACTTTCAACTTCACTCTGCTTATTTTCTAGTATTTTAACTCTGTTTATGAATTACCTCATAACTCCCATTTATTTTGTAAATAATACTCTTCCCATAGTGAATAATTTTTTTCTAAAAATATAATGTCTAGTCTAAACAAACCACCTATATATAACAACAACCAAAAAAAAAAAATTCAGAAGGCCAGAAAAATACTGTCCACTTGATTTTTTTTCTACATCATGCTGGAAAAGAACTAATATACAAAACAAAATTATTTAAGAGAGCATGAACATATAAATAATGCTAAATGTTACCTGTCTAGAGAAAGTGTTACTGTTTCGTTCATTTCAGGCATGTCATCAGCCTTGACAGTAATGTTGATTGTTGTGTCACTTTGCCCAGATAAAAACACAACAGAGCCATTAAAGGGACCTATATCATCCAGAGTCACAGCTTTTGAATTAAAGCCAGAAGGCTTTAAACTCCAATAGACAGTAGCCTGTCCATCTGTTCCATCCCGATGTAATGGAATGTATACCTTATAAAAAGAAAAATAATAATTTCTGAAATAAATGCTTATAACTCACAAATTCCCTAGATATTGCTTCTTCACATAGCAGGTAAAATTTCACTAAAAATATAAACATTGCATTTTAGTACACACATGTTGTTATTTCATGTATTTTTTTAAATAAGAAATGCTTCACGAATGTGCATGTCATCCTTGCACAGGGGCCGTGCTAATCTTCTCTGTATCGTTCCAATTTTAGTATATGTGCTGCCGAAGCGAGCACTATTTCATGTGTTCTATATAGAAAAGTGAACTAAATAAATGGCATTAAAACATATTTAAACAAGTCTTCTTAGCACGAAAATAATCTAAATATAACTACTGCTTTTGCTAATCAAGTTTATCTATAAAATTATTCGCATCAAAAACTGGGCCTATTCAAGATTTTCTCTCAATTAAAAGGTTTTAAAGGTCAAATAATCTAAGATATCATTTATCAATCTCACAAAACAAAACAGTTCTATAAAAATGAATTAACATGATGTGAAAATGTAACATGGGAATAAATAGCCATTAAAAATTTAAGTATATAGCCTATAAAATAAATCACAAAATGATGAGAGGAAAAACAAACAAAACCCCATCCAAATAAGTAAGTAGAAAGAAGAAGAAAATCGGGTTCTAAAAATCATGACACTGGGTTTCCTTGCTCTAATTATTTAATGTTTCTATACAGCTAACACATGCTGCCCTGGATGTGCTCACCAAGTTGTGCCAAGAAATCTGAAGAACAACCACTTGGCCAACTGACTGGAAGAGGTCTATATTTGTTCCCATCACAAAGAAGGGCGACCCAACTGAGTGTGGAAACTACAGAACAATATCATTGATTTCACATGCAAGCAAGATTCTACTGAAGATTATCGAAAAACGACTGGAGCAGCACATCAGCAGACAATTGCAGGAAGTCCAGGCTGGGTTTAGAAAGGGGTCGTGATACTAGGGATATTATAGCTGATGTTAGATGGATCTTAGCTGAAAGCAGAGAATACCAGAAGAATGTCTATATATGTTTCATTGATTATGCAAAGGCATTTGACTGTGTGGATCATAACAAACTGTGGCTGACTCTGAGAAGAATGGGAATCCCAGAACATTTAATCGTGCTAATGCGAAACCTATACTTGGACCAGGAGGCAGTCGTCAGAACAGAGCAGGGTAACACTGCATGGTTCAAAATTGGGAAGGGTGTATGCCAGGGATGTGTCCTGTCTCCATACCTTTTCAACATGTATGCAGAGCAGATTATCCGAGAGTCTGGGCTCTATGAGGAGAATTGTGGCATCAGGATTGGTGGAAGATCTATTAACAATCGGCGTCATGCAGATGACACAACCCTCTTGCTGAAACCGAGGAGGACCTCATGCACATGCTGCAGAGGGTCAAGGACTGCAGCCTTCAGTATGGACTAAGGCTCAATGTCAAGAAGACAAAGATTCTCACCACTGGACCAATTGGTAGCATCAGGATGGATGACGAAGAGATTGAGATTGTGCACAGCTTCAGTTTGCTCGGCTCTATGGTCAACACCCTTGGCACCAGCAGCCAGGAAATCAAAAAGCATATTGCGATGGGAAAGTCTGCTGTTAGGGACCTCTCTAAAGTACTCAAGAACAACAGTGTCTCTCTGGAGACTAAGGTGTGCCTGATGCAGGCCATGGTCTTTGCAATCACTTGTTATGCATCAGAGAGTTGGACAATGACTAGGGAGGACAGAAGGAGAATTGATGCCTTTGAGCTGTGGTGCTGGAGAAGAGTGTTGAATGTACCATGGATTGCCAAGAAAACAAACAGATTCATCCTGGAGAGGGTTAAACCGGGTTACTCCTTGGAGGCAAGGATTCTAGGGCTTTGTCTGACATACTTTGGACATGTTGCCAGGAGGGACGGGTCCTTGGAGAGGGACATCATGCTTGGGAGGGTGGAGGGATGGCGCAGGAGGGGAAGACCCTCTATGAGACGGATTGATTCAGTGACTGGGGTAATCGGGATGGGTGTGTCAGAGGCAGTGCGATTGGCTCAGGATAGAGCAGGGTTTAGGGCTGTTGTACATAGGGTCACTATGAGTCGCAAACGACTCGGTGGCACATAACAACAAAAACAACATATCTGAATTGTGCTGTTATAGATAATTAAGTTATTAAGTAATAAGTAAGGCATTCAGGACAATGCTTCTCTATAGTATAAGCTAATTCAATAAACAACTCAACATGTCATGAAGTCAGAACCAAGTCATACCTGACCCTCCAGCAGCTTTTGAGAGGCTATAAATCGCATGACAGGAGCTTGTGCACTTTTCTCCTACAGAGCTGCTGGTGGATTAAAAAGCACTTGCCTTTGAGTTGGGAGCAAAACTCTCTATCCACTAAACCACCCTGAGGAAATTACTTGAATTTTCTAAATCTCCTTATATGAATGAAGTTAAGGTTTCTATTTTGCATGTTATTGTTATTATTGTTGTTGTTGTTGTTATGTGTCGTTGAGTCACTTGTGACTCATAGTGACCCTATGTAAAACAGCCCTAAACTCTGCTCTGTCCTGTGCCAATCACACTGTCTCTGACACACCCATCCCAATTACCCCAGTCACTGAACCAATCCACCTCATAGAGGGCTGGGTTCCCCTCCTGTGCCATCCCTCCACCCTCCCAAGCATGATGTCCCTCTCCAAGGACTGGTCTCTCCTTACAACATGTCTAAAGTATGTTAGATGAAGCCTCAGAATCCTTGCCTCCAAGGAGCCACCCGGTTTAACCCTCTCCAGAATGAATCTTTTTGTTTTCTTAGCAGTCCATGGTACCCAACAGATTTTGCATGTATCATATAAAAAAATCATTTAAGTAATACAGCCAGGACATTGCCTTTCCATGTTGTTCTTGTTTGCTCTCAGGTTGGAAGTGACCCATAGCTGACCTTTCAACAGGTTTTCAGAGGCCGTAAATCAACAGAAGACTGCCCATTGTTCTCCCTCAATGTAATGAGTGGATTCAAATCATGTACCTTTGTGTTGGCAGCACAATTCCTTACTACTAAGGTACCAGAGCTTCCTATTTGATGGTAGTGATAGTGATATACTATTTTTTTTAAATTCTTAAAAGCTCTTCGCAAGAGTCTACAATTAAGGTTGCATCGTGGAATGTACTGGGGGCGGTGGGAGGGGTGCGGGGGGATTGTGTACCAGGGAGGGAGTCTTTCTTTTTCTTTTTTTTTGTTTTACTTTTGAAAGAGAGAAGCGAACTGGGGTTCGGGGGGAGAGGGCTGGGCGGGTAGAGAAGCGCAGCAATGAATGAATGGAAATCCAAATTCTCTGTAAATGTTCACTAAAATTATTTAAAAAATAAAATAAAATAAAAAAATTAAAAAGGAAAAAAAAGCTCTTCCACATATCCCATTTTATTACTAAGTTAGAGACTTTGTGGGTGAGATGACATCAAGGATATCATCTAAGAAAAAAGCAAAAAGTCATTCCAAAGAAAAAGCCAATATGGATGTCAGAAAAGACTGAAAATTGCACTAGAACATCAAGAACCCAAAACAAATGAAATAAGCAAGTAAATGAAATGAAAAGAAGATTTCAAAGGACAGCACAAGAAGACAAAGTACTAAAGTAAAACAAGCAAAGAACTGAGTTAGAAAAATAAAAAGAGAAGAACTTAGAAGGCATTTATCAAGCAGAAATAACTGAAAAACAACTCCAAGCCTCGAGTTACAATACTGATGGGTGCTATAGGCAAAGTCTTGAATGATCTAGGAAGCATCAAAAAAGAATGAAAGGAATACACAGAATCACTGTACCAAAAACAATTGGCTGGCATGAAATTATTTCTGGAAATAGCCTATGATCAAGAACCAATAAGAAAGAAGTTCAAGCTGCACTGAAGGCACTGGCAAAAAAGAAGTTGCCAGAAATTGATGAAATATCAATTGGTATGTTTCACCAAACAGTTGCAGTTCCAAATGTGCTCATCAGTCTGCCAAAAAATGTGGAAGACAGCTAGCTACCTGGCCAACTAATTACAAGAGGTCTTTATTTGCTCTCATTTGATCACCAAAAACAGGTTATCCAAAAAAATGTGGCAATAATTTAAAAATATAACTAATATCACATGCAATCTTTTTTATCACATAAAATTTCACTAAATATTATCCAAAAATGACTGGAGCAAATTCAGGCTAGACATAGAGGAAGCAGAAATTCCGCTACTGATTTTCAATAGATCTTGGCTGAAGACAGATAAGACCAAAAGGATATAAACTTGTGTTTTATTGACTATACAAAAGCACTTGTCTGGATACAAATTATGGCTAACTTTGAGAAGAATATGAATCCCAAAACACTAATTGTACTCATGCAAAACCTGTACCTAGATGAAGAAGTTGTTATCCAGAGCAAGGGGACACTATATAAAGTCAAGAAAGGTGTGCAATAGGGCTATATTCTTTTTCTGTATCTATTCAATCTGTTTGCTGAGAGTTACTATGAAGAAGAATATGGCATCAGGATCAGATAAAGAAGTATTAGAATCCTGTGTTGTTCAAATGATAAAACTTTGTTTGTTAAAAGCAAAAAGGGCTTGAAATGCTTGCTGCAGAATGTATCAAAGACTATAGCCTTCAATGTGGATTATGTTGTTCCAAAGAAGACTAAGAAAAAGAGCAGGCACACGAGGAAATGAATTCTGAAAAAGAGAGAGGCTGAGGCAAAGGTCCTTCTCTCACAGCTTAGCGCTGTGCAAAGGCCCCTTATTTAGTCTCCCTATGGTTTTTATTTCCTTTAAGCCAATCCTCCTAAAAAATTCAATCTCTGGAGACTATATTTTCCTTAAACTTAAGTGTTTCCAACATAACATGGGTAAGCTTAATCTTTAAACTAAGACCAAAGTTCAGATACGGCATCCCCTCCAGTGGGAGGCTGGGAGGAAGCTTCTGTTTGCAGAGGTCATCGAGTATCACCTCCAGGGAGCTAGGCAGAATTCTCTGTTTGCAGAAGATGCTCAGTAATGTCTGGACTCTGATCTCAGCTAAGGCCTGGCAAACACTATGCCAAGGAAACCACACTATGTCCCAACATCAAAAGACAAAAATTCTCACCACTAGGCCAACAGGCAATATCATGATATATTAAGAAAACATTAAAACTGTCAATCATTTTATCTTGTTTGGTTCTAACATCCTTGTTACTAGTAATCAAGAAATCCAAAGGTGTATTGCATTGGATAAATCTGCTGTCAAGGACCTCCCTAAGGTGCTAAGGCTCAATGATGCCAGTTTAAAGAACAGGGTGCATCTGATTCAAGCCACAGTCTTTTCAATTACTTATTATGCATCTGAAAGGTCAACAGTGATTAAAGATAAAAGAACCTATGTCTTTGATTGTGGTATAAGAGGAGAGTACTAAATATCCCATGAACTGTCAAAAACCAAACAGATGTCTTGAAAGTACAACCAGAGTGCTCCTTGGAGGCATGAGTGATGAAGCTTTGTCTCACAGATTTTTGGGAAGATTGTTTGGAGAAGCCAGTCTTTGGGAAAGAACATCAATCCCAGAAAGGTGTAGGGTTAGCAAAATGTTGGAAGACCCTCCATGCCATGGAATGACACAGTAACTGTAACAACGGACTCGAGTATATCAGAGGTGATGGGATGGCATAGGATAGAGCAAAGTTCAAATACACTGTTCATAGGGTTTCTAAGAATCTTAGTTGACTGGACAACACTTTAAAACAACAACATCCTAAGATGAATGATGACATTTTCGTCACTAACCATTCTGTTAATTTGTCTAGCAATGGTCAGACCAAGAAAACAGTTAATAAAGTGACAGTAAGTAAATGAAAGGTCAAGAGAGTAATAGTGGATCAAGCCTTTGAGCTATCTGGGAGTGAGTGGGGAAATGGGTAGGTGGGTGGTAGTGTGCCCAGGGCAACAAGAGAAGAAAAGTCTTACTCTTATGCTCTTTCCCAAAAGGGTAAGAATAGAGGTTCACGGAGGGAGCCCAAAACACTCCCTAAAGGGAAAAATACATGAAATGGTACATTTACAGCTTTATAAGATAAACAAAATCTACTCACTTTTTAAGGAACAAACTAACTGGCTATATCATGATCTAGCAGAAAATAATAGATTAATAAAGTACAAAATGTTCACTTTTTTTCCTAATGGAGCCTTCTGAACAACAAAGGAACTTGCAGTCACCGTATTATGCCATGCGATTTTTCATAACAAAAATAACCCTTTTCACTTCCTAAAAGAAATCTCAACCTAACAGAAATCAAATCTAACTGTGAGAGACCTGGAGAGGGTCAAAGGGATCAATTGCAGTGTAGGAATGGGGAGACAAAAGGACAGAGTCATTCCTAGATCAGGAAAATTTCGAGCAGTTCAACTAAAGTGTGTTTACTGTGTGTTTGTATGCCAGCATAAGGGTTAGAACCAATGCTATGGGGGCGGCAAAAGTTACATTACAGTCAGGAAGGAGATACTGACATACATAGAAATATTACTTTGGGCACATGAGTGATGTCAGAAAAAAAAGTAGACACTTTGGATGCATGAATGCCATCAGAGAACAGGGACCAGAAGGAAACTCACCCACTGAGTTTTGAACTCTCTGTGGCATCCTCTCATTGGCTTGGGTTCCAACCCCAAGGCCTGCCCAGAGAATGAAGCTATAAAGAGAGGCTCACCTCACAAGCAAGGGCTGTCTCTCCCGTTGGGGCTGTAACTTTCTAATAAATCATTGCTATTTTACCCTCATTTCTGCCTCTTCGTTTCTTTCTTGTTGCCCCTGCACTCAAATAAAGAGCTTCAGCCTATACGTTAATGCTTCGGACACTAAAGTCTGCTCTCCCGAGAAACACTGAAAGCGTTATCAACTGTACTACTTGAATAACATTTCTTCTCTAATCTCTTCCACTGGGTACAATTCTTTTGCCTGTGTGAGAAGGGCAAATTAGGACTTTGATTGCATGGTAACACTGGTAGGGTCTTAGATATGTGAGTGTGCTTTTATATGCACGTGTGTGTTGTCTGTTTAAATATGCTTGTGTGTGGGTATATAAAATTCTTACAAAATTTGTGCATCTTGAGAATTACATATATGTTGTTGTTATGTGCTATTGAGTCCCCTGCAATCCATATCAATTCTGTGTACAGCAGCTCTGAAGCCTGCCATGTCCTGAGCCAGTTTCACTAATGCCAACACACCAACCACCCATTGCCCCAGTTACTGTATCATATATCCCCTCTAGGGTGCCCAAAGTATGTGAGACAAAGCTTCAAAATCCTAGCCTCCAAGGAGAAACTTGGTTTCACCCTCTCCAAGACAGACCTATTTGTTTTCTTGAGGGTTCGTGGTATGTTCAAGATTCTTCCAGCACCATAACCCAAAGGTATAGATTCTTCTTCTATCATCCTTAGTCACTGTCCAGTTCTCTGAGGAATACCAAGTAACTGCAAAGGCCATGGTGTGCATTAGCTGCACTTTAGTCTCTAGACTGACATCACTGCTTTTCAGTACTCTAGAGAAGTCCCTCACAGCAGATTTTTCCAGTGCAATCTATCTTTTGCTTTTCTGACCACTGTTGCCAAATGATGATCATGGAACAGAGCAAGCTGTAATTGTTAACAACCTCAATCTCCTCTCCATCTATCATGATGCTGCCAATTGGGCCAGTAATGAGAATTTTTGTCTTCCTGATGTTGAGCTTCAATTCATACTGAAGATTGCAGTCCTAGATCTTCTATAGCAAACAATTCAGGTCCTCCTCAATTTCAGCAAGAACGTTGTGTCCTCTGCATAATGTAAGTTGTTGATGAGTCTTCCTCCAATCCTGATGGTACATTCCTCCTCATTAAGCCTAGCCTCCCAAATCCCAAATGTTCTGCATGTAGATTAAAAAGGTATAGACACAGGATGCATCCCTGACTCAACTCCTTTCCTGATTTTAAAACATGCAGTGTTTCCTTGATCTGTTCTGAGGATTGCTTTCTGGTCCAAGTATAGATTTCACAAAAGCATAATCAAGTGTTCTGGATTCCCATTCTTCTCAGAGTTAGCCACAATTTGTTATGTTCCACACAATCAAATGCCTTTGCATAGTCAATGAAACACAGATAGACATTCCTCTGGTACTCTTTGCTTTCTGCTAAGAGCCATCTGATATTGTCAATAATGTCTCTAGGATTGTATATACACACACATATATTTATGTATACATTTATACATATATATGTACATATATACATTTACACACATATAATATGTACACACACACACACATATATATATACACACACACACACACACATATTTTCTAAGATTCATCAACACATAACTTTACCACCAATTACAGAGTTCAAAGTAGCCAACTCAGGCTTACCAAGGCAGTTACAAAGAGATGATGAACATTGAGAATACCTGTGGTACATGATTTAGCAATTAAATAAGAAAAAAATGTTTATGTTTGTCTGTTATTACAATTAGGGACCTAGTGGCTAAATAGTTTCATTGTCAATTCAAGGTTTAAATCCAACAGCTGCTCCATGGGACAAAAATGGGAAATCTCTTCTCATGAGGATTGTTGTCTCTGAAAACCCACAGGAGGGTCAGCTATGAATTGGTTCTGGCAAACAGAAACAAAAAGCAGTCTATCAAAATATCTTACACTCCTTGGTTATAATTAAGTCTAACTTTATTCTATTGAGTTTGGCAAAGGATGATGGAAAAGCCACATAGTCATGTAGTTATTTCTGTCAAATTATTTATTCAAAGCTTTCCATAAATAGGAAAATTTCTCTGTTACTTCTATAAGAAACTGTCTAGGGTCTGTCCACAACCTCAAACCATTAGACTCCAACATTAAGAAAAAGTCTACTTACCACTTCAGCAGGAGAATCTTCCGGCTCATGTAAAATGATTGGAAGATTGCTAGTAAAGCCAATTTCTCCATTTGCAATGTCCGGTGTAACCAGTAAAGAAATATTACGGATTTTTCCAAATCTAGGACTTACAGGTGCGATTGGAGGAACTATGTTCACCAATTCCACATTTTCCAACTACAATAAATAAACATAAAATTACTGAAAATTTTAATGGAAATTTAAAATTTATTTTAAAAGTCTTGCTTAATAGCATGAAGAAACAAAATGAGCATCAGTTAATGGTCATCAAAAAATTAAAAACTTCATTCGCCTTCCTCACTCTCCATCATTAAGAGCACTGTTTGGGGTTATTTGACTGGTTTGGGGTTTTGGGGTTTTTTTAAACTTCTTTTGTGCATCACATGTTATTATTCTCTATGGTTCCTCCTAATCCTATATTTTATAATGTTATACTTCCACCCTAAAAACCTCTAGAACTGCCTTCCAATTTGAAATAATTTTTAGCAACTGCCCATTGGGCAATGCATGAATGTCACAAAGACATATTGTTCTGTTGGCCTCCAAATCACAGCAACATTATCCACAAGAGGACTAAACAATTGTAATTCACATTGTTCTCATCAGCTTATTTTTCAGAAATAAACAGGCCCTTTCTCATTGTCCGAAAGCTTCACAGAAACCTGTTCAGCATCATGGCAACGTGTCAGCTTCCACTGATAGGTGATGTCTGCAAGGGAGATGCATGTCCCACTCTTTAAACAGAACATCCAGCATGATGATCTCAACCTCTGTTCCATTCCCCCCACTACCAATACCTACTTTTCCATTTTTGTTGCCTACATCTAAGTGACTTGACCTCAAAGCCAAATATCAGAGCATTTACCACATTCCAAATACTTAATCACTTACTCACTTGTCTTCACAGGCTGAGAAAAGCAAAAAGCAGAAAACCATTCAGAACTCCAAATATTCAATTAATTAAATGCAACATGTATATCACATATAGTGTAACGAATGAACACAAACATCACAATGGCTTTTCATTATCTTTTTAGAATCTGGATATTCTCTGTTATCTTACAAATTCAAAATTAATCATATTTAAAGACTAACTCAAATGTTCTCCTCTTCCATAATAATTTCATGGGATTTTTCACTCCTTTTTATTTTATTTCTTCTCTGAACTTCAATGACTATACTCCCAAAAACTAAAATTTACTTATAGTGCTCATATATTGCTTGTTTGGAGTCCCTGAGTGGTGAAAATCAGGTTGCCATGAATCAGAATCAATGCAAAGGAAAGGGGCTTTGATAATACTAGTTTAGCAACATTTTATATACTCCAAATTTTTCCTTCACACACAGGTATAAAGCTCTTGAATAATGATGGGGCTTTTTTTCTTCATCTTCCCTGATGTATAATATAGACTTAACAAATGTAATAAAAGCACAGTTTTACAAAGTGAGCTCTATTGATACATAATAAAAACCTTCAACTTCCTAAAGTTCTGACTATGAAACCTGTTCACCTAATGTTCACTTGGATAGTATAGGAATGAAAACTCAGTTCCAAGACTGAAAAAAATCATAGTGATTTTAAGTTAAAAGGCAATCGTTATATAAATCATTATTGTAGAATGAGTATGAGGATTCGGGGGGGGAGGTGGAAGTAGAGGAATGAGGATATGGGGGCATTATTCAGGGGTTATATAATTTGATGAGTGGGAGTGAGGGAAATTGGAAGAATCTGGTGTGAAAAACAATGTATTTGAATTTTGTAAATATCCCAGAGGTGTGCGGTTCAAATCCACCAGATGCTCTGTTTAAGAAGGAGGAACAATCTCCTCCTGTACCAGTCAGATCCTATTTGACGATACACACATTAAATGAATTTTGTAAATAATCTAGTATAAAAATATTTGGAAAACAAAAAATTAATGAGCAACTGTGGATCTTCTATCCTTCAGGTTCCTCTGTTAGTTTAGCCTTTGTTATGTGAAAATGATACCATTAAGTGTCCATAAATGGAGACTTATGACTTTGGTTGGTTTTTCTGGAAGCAGACATAATATACTGGTGATAACAGTCTCCCATACACTCCAATAATCTGTGATGCAGACTATAAAGTTTAAAGGACAAAACTTTGCTGTGAAAATCAACTAAAAGAGAAAGATTGAGGGGATCACACGTTTGGTAAATATTCACTTGAGTAAAAGACAAGGTATGAGATGGACCCATGTTGATAAATATGGTGTAAAGACTAAGCAAGCAGATAAAACATGTGATTCCACAGTGGTCATGTGAGGGGACACAGGTTAGTGAATGAACACACTGGTGCATGGAGAGTTATAACGAGTTAAACTGATAATGCTGCCTAAAGGGTTAAGAAAATAAATTCAACATAGTTTTACTAAACTTGTCGGGAAAAGGTGGGATATTTATTTCAAAAGTCATAAAAATCTTTATCAAAATTATACAATACAGTTATTATTTTTAACAAAAAAATGCATAAGTATTTTAGAAATAAGCTGTTTGAAAAAAAAAATGCTAATTTTACGTGGCTTCATACCTAGTCTGTAAGCTTTTTCACTAAGTTTCTTATGCAGCATCCGCTAAATCAAACCACCTCATTCATACACAGTTGTTCTTTGCTTTCGGGTAGTTTGCAAGTAGGACAGCACTTTTAGCAGTCCCACGCCTGCCAAAAGTCATAGCTCAAACTAATGTGCTTAACTGAGACGGTTGCTAAAGAATGAGACGCTCATGTCACAGATTCTCCTTTCTTCATTTCATTCAGTTTTCCCTGCAGGCTCATGTCTCCTATTCTCACACTGCTCATCCATTATATACTGTACAAACTACACAGCCTCCTAATCCCAATCAGCTTTCCAGTGCTCACAGCTGTTCTGGGTCTCAGGAAACTTTGCAGTGAGTAATAATGCCTTTTCCCCCTCAACCAGTGTTAAATTAACCGTCTGCACTGTCAGACCTTTGTTTTTTAACTGAATACAGAGATACATAAAGAACTGAGGCTGGAATTAGTGGTGTAAAACCGCTTTCTAACACAGCCCAGAACACCAAAAGATGTCCTAGTATGTACTTCTTCAAGCTTTTCCCTATCTTTGAATGACATTAAAAAATTAGGTCATGATTTATAGAACACTGAGAGTAACAGCACTTGGGTAATATCTGGTATCCCACAAAATATTCTTAAGAAGAATTTGGTTGCATACACATTTTTCATAGAAACTTTAGTAGAGCTATCTGAAAGTTTCAAATGCCTGAAAATTTAATATAAGACCTACAGTAAAACCTGGCTTTGAAGTAAAAAGAGAAATCTGAACACTTGGCTCAAAAAGAGAAAAACAGCAGTTAAAAGTAACAACTTTTACATTTCTGAAATTAACCAAGCATGCAACTAAGATGCATTAATAACTATTGGTGATGGGACTTTAAAAGTCAGAAGCAATAAGGAAAGAATATTAGATGGAAGGAAAGTTAGGGTCTTGGTGACAGAAATGAGACTAGACATCGAATGAGTAAATTTTGTAGAGTCAATGATTTATTCATTGCAAATAGCTTTTAAAAACACAGAAGAAAACTTAACAGATGGACCTAGATGATGGGCTGATGGGAATCAGACTGACTACATTTATGAAAAAAACCTTGAGAGACCCTCAGTATCAGTATTCACAACCAGGCAATCTGTTGACAGTGGAATAGACCATCAATTACTCACATTCATGTTCAAATTAAAGCTGAAGAAAATTAAAACAAGTCCACAAGAGTCAAAATATGACTTTGAGGCCATCCCACCTGAATTTCAAAATCATCTCCACAACAGGGTTGAGGCTTTGAACAACAATGAACAAAAATGAGATAAGTCACGGATGACATCAAAGATACCATCCATGAAGAGAACAAAAGGTCATTAAAAAAGACAATGAGGGGAAACAAAGCAGATATCAGAAGAGATTTTGAAAACTGTAGTAGATCAATGAGAAGTCAAAACAAAGAGAAGAAAGCTGAAGTAAATGAGGTGAATAGAAGATTTAACAGGAAGCTTATAAGACAAAGCAGAGGAGTATAATGGAATACACAAACAGCTGGAATTTGGAGAATAATAAGTAAAGAACTCAATAGGCATTTCTAAAGTTGAAAGATCTGAAAATAAATTCAGCCTTGAGTTACAACACTTAGGGATGCAACAGGCAATATCTTGAAAGATCCAGGAAACATCAAAAGAAGATGGAGGGAATATTGAGAGTCACTGTACCAAAGAGAAGTGGCCAGTACTGAAATAGTTCAAGACGTACCACATGATCAACAGCCAATGGCAATGAAGGAAGAAGTTCAAGTTGAACTGAAGGCTTTGGCAAAAAATAAGGCCTCAAGTATTGATAAAATACCAATTGACATGTTTCAACTAACACATGCAGCTCTGGATGTGTTCAACAGCCTATGCTAGGAAATTTGAAGGAGAACTGCCTGACAGATTGACCAGAAGAGATCACTATTTGTTCCCTTTCTCAAGAAAGATGATCCAGAAGACTCAGTAAATTATCAATATCACATCTGAGCAAGGTATTGCTGAAAATCATCCAAAAATGGCCAGAACAGTACATTGACAGAGAACTGCCAGAAATTGAAGCCGGGTTTAGAAGACATCACGGAAACAACATGACTTGCTGTTGTCAGATGCATCCAGAGAATACCAGAAGAATGTCTAGTTGTATTTTATTCACTATGTAAAAAGCATTTGAATGTTAGATCATAGTAAACTATGGGTAACACTGGAAAGAACGGGAATCCCAGAACACATCATTATGCTTACACCTATACCATGAATCTGTTTTCGGG